TCAGTTTTGTATTTTATAAGTGCTCAGAAGTCATACATTTATAATTATCTCTGAAATTTTGTCAGGGATTAATGTATAGCTTATTTGTCTACACATTACTAAATCCCATCTGCCTTTCATTAAATATTTAGACATCTTCCTACATCTGGTCGTCCAGAATCTCCTGTATCCTCTGTGACTTCTATGAGTTACTGGTAATGTCATATCTCTACGTTCTTCCAGTCTCTGGGATGTAATTTTTCTGTATTTGGGGGCTTGAACTTATGTGATGTGACTAGTCGTTCAGCTCTATCCTTTCCAATTAAACAGCCTTCTCTTCGTTGGAGAAGATTGAGCATAATAGGAAATCAGTAGGCAAAGCAGATAGTCGCCAAAGTTTCAGAGCTGGAAAGCAAAGAAGACCTCTCACTATGCCTTTGCCTCCTTGGTTCTCTCTGCACCTTCTCTTGTGGCTGGCAAAGGGGAGGGACCAACACTTTCCTCAAACTTGGCTGCTGCCTCCACCTGAGAGAGCCAGATATGAAAGCAAGCACTGTCTCTCTCTCTGTCTCTCTCTGTCTCTGTCTCTCTCTCTCTCTCTCTGTATGTGTGTGTGTGTCTCTTTCTCTCTCTCCTTCCTTCCTCTTCCACATGTCTATTAAGGTAAGGTAGATCTGGAGCCCTAGGAAGGAGGCCTGGAACTAGAGTGATCAGATAACGTATATGCCGAGTTAAATTCACCGATGATCTGAAATTCAAATTTAACTAGGACGTCTATCTGTCTTTCCTTTTCCTTGGCAAGCTCTGCAACTCATGTGTGAGAAGTTCAGGGTGGGAAAGGACTAGAGTGGATCACTTGGCCGGCTTTATTTTCAGACTCTAGGCCATTTCTAGTTGTAGCAAAAGCTGTTCTCTGCATGGTTCTGTTTAGGTAACTAGCAGTCTGTGCTGCACATCTTCTCATTGTCCCTCCTGACCAACTTCTATCCTTCATTCTCCGCCCTGCGCAGTGCTCTGGAAGACTACCTTACGAGAACGACCCCAGGAAACTCCCTTGCCTTCCACCTCCTGGGTTAAAGATACGAGAGCAGGGAGAACAGGGGGTCTGGTTATGTACTTCTCTCTTCCTTCGTGCTGGATCACAGTGGGTGGCTGCATCCCTCTGCTGAAGGCCACAGCTCCCGTCAGATGGCCCTCTCCATGCCGAGGGCCTCTCGAGGGCCAAGCATCTGCTCCTTCTCCCCACCTCCTCAGGCCGAGGTGCCATAAGGGCTGCCAGTTATCCCTTTTTCAGGGGTATGCTTCAGGGGTATGTATCCTTATATGTTTCCTTACCTACTGGTCACACATATGTAAATACTCCCTTATTCAACTCTCCTTAAATTATCATCTGTTTTCTGCCAGAATCTTGACTGCTAGATCTGCATGGGAGCTGGTGCCCTATCTCAGAGTTAATGTTTGTTTGTTTGTTTGTTTGTTTAACTCTTATCCTCTATTTCCTTTTTGTTCTCTATGATTTTATTTGTCACAGGGGCTTCAAAGTTTTGCAGTTAAGGATTTTAATATTTTCGTCCCTTTCTCTCTACCCCTGCCAAGTAATATTATTTAAATTTTATCTTCTCCCAAATCAATTCGATATCCTGCTCTACGACAGTTTTTTAATATATTTATTTTGAAAAGTAATCTCTGTTTGGCTGAGTAATGTCAGTTATACACATCTATAGTTATTTAATTTAATGCTCTCATCGTCACATATTTCATGTTGTAATTTCCCCTTTGATGCTAATTCATTCATTCATGCATTAGAGTTGTTACATCCTCTGCACTGTGCTTGATTCTGTACTGAACACGGCGTATTATTCTTCCATGTGTTCCCTCCCCTGAAGAGTTTATAATGTAATAACAGCAACACCACAATCACTGCAATTCACGATTGGGTCTCAAACGTCCGGGACAGACAGTCTGTGCTGGGTTGGAGGACGGCATTGGGAAGAGAGGGACTGAGTCTTGAAAAAAACAAAACGAAAACAAAACTCCGTATCTTTTAAAAAGTTTTAAAGGAAAGACCATTCTATGTGATTGTCCCTAAGATGATGTACCTATTAAAGCAACCGGATGTGCCTGGGTTGCCACTGGGCTTTGCAGTTGTCAGGGGACACAGAACTGAGTGGAGCATCCAGGGCTCACCTCAGGCGTCCCCTCACCTTACACTACTGTACCCACTGACAGTTCTCGAGTCTGATGGGTCCCCGTTCTTTGATTAGTACACTTAGCTTCAAAAAATGTCTTCTATTTCTAAAAAAGTTAGAGGTTAAATTTCATTTGAAAGCATTATGATGGGAGCATGAGAACATGAATGGAGGGCTATAATTTGCTGCATATGTGTTCTGGGGAAGTCATTCTTCCAGGAAACTGGAGCTCTGCTTGTCCTTGGGAAGAAATTTGTCCTTATAGAAACCATTTGTCCCTCAATTTCAGCATTCAACAGCAGTTCAAAGTATGACTCAGAAATTTGAGGGAACAGAGAAAGGATGAGATGTGGGTAAATGAGTAGTCTCAAAAATCATCATGGCTTTTTACACACACACACACACGCACACACACACACACACACACACACACCCCAATTATCGGCTATGAAAGGCCTTCTGGATGGTGCAAATAATGGTATAAATCTTACTACAAACAGGAAAAAGAATAGATTCTACTATCTTGAATCAAAACTGCCATACCTCAGGAATTGGTTCATTCACATAGACCCATTCTTCTGATCCTGGCTTAGGTGGTGGTGGCACTGTTGGAACAGGTGACACATCTACAGATTCAGCAGGTGATTTCTTTACCAGTACTTTCCCTCCTGGTGATTTTCCTTTAGGAGAACCTTAAACACACATATTAAATCATTCCATTACAAGTGGAATGAGACCAGATTCTGGTGGATGAATATATCTATGATTGCCATGGGCTTGAGGCAATTCATAAATTACTTTTTAAGCAATTTTGGGCAGCCTTACCAAATCAAAAATCAGAAACCTCTTTCTCTACAGCCCCCAGATTAATCAATAACAACAATAGCAGTATTTTTTTTTAAAGCAATCCAACTTCTCTCATTCATTTGGCTATGAAAAGCAACTTGATATTTTATTTTCATCTCTGTCCTTGCTTCCATGATAAACATAGGATTCTTACAAAGTTTAGAGTTTAGAGCAAAGTGTATTTAACTTATTTTTTAAATTTTACTTGCAAAAAATTGGAAAATTAAACTCTCCACCCTGAATGAGAAAGAAGGCAGCTATAACATGAGCTCTTGGTGTTCTTTGAAGCCCAGGGGAAGAAGAGGGAGGAAGGAGATTATTTTAAGAGTTAGCCAGAGTCGATGAGGAATGTGGGGGAGGAGAAGCAAGGGCATCGTAGCTCCTGATTATTCCCACATTCCCTGCATGAGGCACAAGGTTTCTGAGCAGGAAACTATATTTCTTGCTACAGTTGTAAAGTATGGATGAAGGTAATTGCTGTGCCGTAAGCCTGCTGAATTAAGGCATGAAAGACAGAAGGGAGGAAGAGGAGAGGGAGGACAGAGGAAGGGAGAAAAAGGAGAGAGGAAGGAGGAAGAAGATGAGAAAAAGGAGGAGAAAGAGGTCTACTTGCAGTTCAGAATCTAGAAAGGGCACATGCTTCACTTTCAATGGTAGCATCATGAGGGGATCTAGGCCAGTCAAGTGACACCCTTATGGTCTGAAAGACCTTGTGACTGACCGAAGTACCTTAACTCAGAAAGAACCATTTTCCTTAAAGGATCAAGGCTATTAGATTTTAGAAATTCATTCCATTTAAATTCCACTTACCTTCACATTACTTCTTGAGATTTTAGATGCAATTTATAGATGACTGTAGAATTGGGAGCTCTTTCTTTCCCCCAAATATATTTCTTTAATGAATATTATTTAATTATAATGCTCTTTAAGAAGTAAATATATCTTCCACTTTTATATTAGTTAAAATATATGAATTAAAAGTAGAGGGGAAATTGTCAGTTGTATTTTGTGGGCAGTTAGGTGACTTCTACTTACACATTTAAAAATAGTACCCATTATTCACCATTATTCACAGGTCTGAAGTTGTATCTAGATTTTTTTTTTTAATTTAGAAAAATTTAAGAAAGTTTTTGTTTAGTCAATAATCTAAATGTTCATATATATTTTTTTCATATGATGACTTTTGATCCATTGACCTGAAACTTTGGTGAAATAAAAGTGATAACAGTATGACCGTTTTAAGATAAATTTCTCTAAGAATAATTCCTAAGAAGAACTTTGTAATTTCAAATGTGAGACTGGAATGAGTTTCTTTTTCTTCTTCACATATTTCAAATATTATTAAAGCCAATAGGATTTTAGTAAAATAATAGCAAAAAATTTCAAAAGTCCTTGGAGATTTTAAAGTGAGGTAACTGCATGGCTCCAGTGTATGTATTTTACTGGCTGAACTTGTATTTGCTTATGGCTTGTTTGGAGTGTGTATACTTTTAACTAAGGATGCTCTTAGAGCATGTGCACTATTATGCCTAACTTGATGATTTGGTATCCAATATGTATAAGTATATTTAATTCCTACTTTTGATGATTCTATGATGACCCTTTGTTTGCTTTTGTTGATCACAAGGAGAAACAAGGGATGAATAATGTAAATATAAAAATTATTCTCCTGTTGGTAAATAGGTGAGAATTGAGAATAAATTATAGCTCTTAACATTTTAGCTAAAATTTTTATCTCAGTGTTAATTCACCAAACAGATTCAGTTATATAAGCCCACCATGTCATATAATCAGAGAAGGGTGAGATTCTCTTTGAGAATCACGGTTATAAATCTTTAAATGCCAAAAATAAAGATATATTTTAGCACATCATTTTGTGAACATTGTACTCTTGGGCAGCAACTACATTGGTCATTTGTAATGAAAATTAAACAAAGTCACACACTCTGTGACAACCCATTTGAATGTACCCTGAAGAATGTCAATTGTCTTTATCCATAACTGCATTTCAATCTTTAATTAATTGGTCCCTATAGCAGCTTCAACATAAATCTAACTAATATTCTTTTAGAGGCTGGAATTTTCTTCTACCAACTGGCAATTACTTTAAAAATTATATCCCCTCTATCTCATAGAAATAGTTAAAAGAAAATAGAAAAAAATATAAATGAAATTAGGGTCAGGAAAAATACAACTTAAAATAGAAGGTCAAAATCTTCTATTTTAGAAGGAGAAGAATTAGAAGGCATATACTGAGAACTAGGTTCTTGCACAGATACTAAATCTGAGCCACTAATTTGGTTCAGAACTTCTAAAGAGCTAAAATAGAAAAAGTAATGCTATCATTTAGCTAATTATCTAACCACTTGGAGGACGAAAAGTTTTCCTGACCCTTGATTCTGAATGAAATTTCTTACCTAGTATTTCTTTCTTTCTTTTTTCTTTTTAATGCCTATAGCACCTGGTATTCCTAGGTGGTCTTCCATCCAAGTACTAACCAGGCCCAACCCTGCTTAGCTTCTGAGATCAGACGG